GCGTAACGTAGCAAAAAATTTTAGATATTGCTAGAAGTTCAAAGGGTCGATCAGCTTTGATAATCCCCATGATTTGAATTTGAAAGAAACTATTTAAATTGTAAATATCTGACCCAGATTCCGTCGAATGTATGAGGTGCTTTATAGAATCCCTTCGGTCTCTTCAATCACCTGGATCAAAATTCATTGACGGCCATACTCGCAAAATACCATCATCGTAATAAAGGCTCAATTTTTATACAAGCTCAAAGCATAATACATTTATTATTAACGCTTGTATTAACGCTTGTCTCCAATTTGTTTACTCAGGTTATTTTTAAATTGATAAATCAATGAATAGTTATATCATTATATTTAGTTGATTTTTTTCAAACGATAATAGCCATGTTGTCAAGTTTTGTTGAAATATATAATAAAAAAACGTATCAATTACGCAATCATAAAATTATCAAAGCTAAAATTGCATTATAATAGCATAAATTACATATTTTGCGTTCTGCCATACTTTTTGAATTTTGCATCGCACACGCGTGTACACACCAATGCAATTTTCACTACAAGCCTAAAACTGTTTGACGTGTTTAGCATCGGAAGACAGCATCCCTTAAAAGGTAGGGATGGTTCTCATGGAAGTATAGTCGAAAGGGATTCAACCGGGGAAAAGCGTAGGCCGGACTGGAGTGGCACCCACTTTTCGCTGAGATATGCATGAGCTAGCTAAAGTTGCTCTACAACTACGTTGCTTACATAATATAAACTCCTGGGGTTATCCTCTAAAGCACCCAGACGTCATAGATGCTATCAGATGGAGCGGCTCAAAGATTATAAAGATGGGAAGCCATTTAATTTTTTTATGCATGATATTTTATGCACGATATTTTGTCGTGATGCGGTGTACTGTTGTCAATTTCTTTTTTGAAATGTAACAGTGGAGACTTATTTCAATCGGATATTATTGTTCATTAGAATATTAAAAATTTGAGTTACATGAATACATCAGTTTAACGAATTATTCAGAATTTTGATTATATATAGCGATATTTCTCTTCGTTTCTTTATTACATTTCATCTCTTCTGTTATTTGTTTTTGGCATATTAAAATTATTTCGCGAACGAACCTCCAATTTTATTTTCCTTTATTAAATCATGTAAATTTAAAAAATTGCGAAAAGATTGATCGAAAATGGAGATTATTCTTTTTGCTTTTGCCTCCAGTTCGAGTTTCGTTATTAAGGCCTCAATTCGTGACTCAAAATGTATCGCACAAAATAACGTCGATGCAGATTAAAGGACATCTATAACAGCAATAAAGCATACGCCTTATATACCGAGAACTAAACTGCCAATAGTCCCGCGAAGATACGATCGGTGGTGACGGTGATGTTGGCTGCGGTGCAGACGATAACGATGAGTTCTTGAGGGTTAATTACCCGAATGATGATTTTGGCTTTTCTTCGACGGTACATCGAAGATTTCTGACGGTTTGTTAAATTTATACGTACACATAATAAACAAGCCGATTTATTATGTTCCGCCACCGGAGTGCTTCCTTCCTTCATCACATTGCGGCTTTTATCCATCTTCCTATCATGCAACTTGTAACAAATATTTATCATCGCGTTGTAGCATTATTGCAAGTAATATGTGTTCCGCGATGCGAGATATGAGGAATTTTCGGTCAATATCGAATATTAATACTTCAATATGATGTGCAATGCAACGCGATTATTATCGCGACAGAATTAACTCTAATAATGCCGTTATCTCGCGTTAATGGACCGATAATGCATCTTCGAAACTGTACTTTTGATCATATAAAGTTATAATACATAGAATAATAATATTGACCGCTGGAGAGTGTAGATAATCGAGGGACGTAATTAGTGCAGAAAACTAAGCGTACTTTTATGATATTATATATATATATATATAATATACAGGATGTACCGTAAGTTTTGGCCAATCGTTTTTGTGTAAATAGAGCGGATCAAACTGAGTCGAAAAGTCCTCTACCATTTCGGAATTTTCGCAATAGTTAACAAGATATCAATTTATTAAAAATTACCAAATATTAATCATGGAATAATTTTTTACTCAAATACTATCAATTTATAGAAAAACTTTATAGAAAACTGCAAGAAACAAAAATTATTTATATTCTTCTCATAGAACTCTAAGAATTTTTTATCAACTTTTTAATACTGCATTTTCTTATTTTCAACATGAGAAAATATAGTATTAAAAAATTCTGAATAAATTCTCAGAACTTTATGAGAAGAAAATAAATGATTGTTGTCTCTTGCAGTTTTTCTGTAAATTTAATAATATTTGAGTAAAAAATTATTCAATATTTGGTAATTTTTAGGAATTAATATCTTGTTAATTATTGCGAAAATTGTAAAATGGTAGAGGACTTTTTGACTCAGTTTAGTCCACTCTATCTACACAAAACTTACGGGACACCCTATATAGACTATTTCATCTTTCATTATTCAAAATAATAGAGAGCAGACGTTTGATCGATATGTAAAAATAATATGTTGTATAATTTTAATATAATTATTTTTTCTCATAATAAGCATTTATTATTTTCATTTATTTATGTGAATCAATTTTCAATGAATTAAATTTTATGTGATTTAATTGTATGTTTTTTTTACTATCATATTTTTATTAATAATTTCATGAATGAAATCTATAATATTTCAGATAGCAGGTGAAGTTTCAATAAAAGTTCGTAATTAAACCTATTTTTAAATATAAGTTAATTCGTAAAGACTCCTTACTAATCACAAAAAAAATAGATAAAATAAGGTAATAGGAGTCAGGCGCGGTAATTGTTGCGCAACAATTACCGCACCTAACTCCTATTACCCTATTTTATCTATTTTCTTTGTAAATCTATTTTGTTACCTTTGGTTCTATTGTAAATTAATATAATTCTATTGTAAAACCTATTTTAACGCTAAGAACAGAATGGGAAGTTTGCAGAGAAATACCGAGAATTATATAACATGATGCACATGATTCATAATCTCATAACTGTAAAATTACAATTATTACGAGCACTACCGCTGAGCACAAATTATGGAGATACCATTACGTATTACGTTTATTACTCGCACCGCTCATACACGGTTGTTCAGAATTGTAGCATACCATTAATGAAAGCGATTTATACTTTTAATGTCACGCTCGATAAATCATCAACTTGTTATCGTTAGTGTCACAAAATATTGTTATTGGATAAAAGTTTCCTAATTTCACAAGAATTTCTTAATTTCCTAATTTTACATGTTTTGAAAAATACGTAAAATGTATTTATTACATAATATTTTTATACCATCGTAACAAATTTGCGTGAGAATATATTAAATATGTGACTTTAATTGAGCACAAACATTTTGGATCGGTCATTTGAATTTGCCATTAATTTTTCCATTTAATTAGTAGATTTGTAGTTAATGTGTCTTAAAGAGCACGCTCAGATTCATTTTGATAAAAAATTTGTTTACTACAACTTTATGTATAAAACTGAATGTCAAGGGCGCTATTTTAGATTTTCTATTTCCATAATTTGCCATTTTTAATCATGAGAAACTTTTGCAGTACATCCGATTCATAATAAGTTCCAGTGTGATATACGAAAATTCGGCTTACAAAAGGAAACACGATATAACATCAAAAAATCTATTTTTCTCATATTTCTGGGATATAAAACTATTTTGGCTATTTCATGTGGATCCCAAACAACTTTTTGTAATTAACAAGATTTTTCGCGGGAAGGGAGAGGGGAGGGGGCAAAAATCAGACTTTTTTAACATCCTCCTTTGTCAATGGTATCTTGCTAAAACAAGGCCGATTCATAATCGATTCTTATATTTAAGATCTTCCTAAGTACAGTCTTAAGATACTATAATCACAGCCATATTTGATTGTAAGGCTTTGATTTTAAGACATTACTTAAGATGGTCTTGAAATAACCAACTATGAATATAAGTCCAAAAAATTTAAGATTCAGTTGCATAATTTATTAATTCCCTATTGAGATTATTTATATATTGGTTCAGTATTATATCTTTTTATACAGTAAATCAGATAATTTAATGAGGTCATAGGTGAAGAAGATATGATGTCTCATACTTTTCTATTAGGTGTACAAATAAGTTTCCGCCGTTTGACAAAAGACGGCGCCACTAGCAAGCTATGGTTAAAATTGTCTGATGTAAAACATTATATCGTAAGGTTGGATATCTGTCAACAACATAACCTTGAAATACTAGCGATTTTGTATCAGCATCATATATTTTTTTTGTGCGAAAATGCCGAGTTTTGAGCCGAATAAGCGTCATTTGTGGGAACTTTTGATTTACTTCTTTAATTTGAAGAAATCTGCAGCTGAGGCTCATCGATTGCTTGTAGAAGCATATGGTGAGGCTGCCTTAAGTGAGAGAAGTTGTCGTGAATGATTTCAAAAATTTAAGAACGGTGAATTTGACGTAGAAGACAAAGAACGTAGCGGAAGGCCGAAAGTGTACGAAGACGCGGAATTGGAAGCATTATTGAATGAAGATTCATGCCAAACGCAAAAAGAACTTGCACTTACATTTTGACTTACATCAATAAAACATTATGTATCGTTCTTTCACAATAAATGCTTAATTTTTGATTAAAAAAACGGCGGAAACTTATTTGTACACCTAATAGTAATACTATTAAGAAGTATTAACTCCACGGCTGTTCTTAAAATGTGTAGTAGAATACTCGCGAAAGAATTTTACACTGAAGAGGGTTCGAAGTAATTATAAAGATCGAAACGTTTGTAAGTTATATCGATTATTCTTGCTAATAAAGCACATACACACCAACTTCCTGTCGGCTCATATTGGCATGTTTCAACTTTGATCGATTTCGTCTGAGCCTATAAAATTCTTAATATATTACATATTTCCATATTGAGATTATTACAGAAGAAATAACGTTGCATCTTCTATTTTCAGCGCGGGCGGTTGATGCCTAATGGCGCGGGCTGGAACGCAACGCTGGAGAAATCCTGCTCCAGAGTAAGTAGACCCTTAATTCACGGTGGGAATAAGCATGTGGCATACTATATTATGCATAACAGATGCGACAGAGCACGGTACCGGACGGTTCTCAAACCGAAGGTTCAAGACGATTGCGCGACCAAAAATGTGTCAGAAAAGGCTAGAGTTAAGGGCGAGGAAAAATAAAGAGATGAAGTGCACGTTGCGAAAAGTATCGTTTATCTCGAAGTCACACTGGTCACTTGGCTGTTCTGATTTTTCAAATTTTTTTCGATTCTTTCTGTCGAGATTTCACGAAATACCTCGCCGACAAAACGTGTATTTCTAAACTGCTGACAAACAAGCGACAGTTCGAGTGGTGCTACTTCTCGCTGAGAGAAGTTTGATAGGAATGGTGAGAGAGCGATGATAAAAACTTCTCGTCGGGTCCATCGATGGATTTGAATAAAGTCGAGGGGAATATCTCGGTTCGAAGTTTCCTGAAGCCTGCTTTGCTCCTTGAAACCGATGTCCGTTGAGTCTTTTTTTCATTCTTTCTCAACTTTTTTCCCCGGAGATGAAAGCCATCACGAACCGCGTAGATGGATCCGAGCATAATGAAACGTAACTTTTTAGCCAATTTTTAAATAGAAAATTTATTAATCGAACGGGAAAACTCGATAATTTTAAGAAGGATGTTAACTTTCGTGTTTTACCAGGATTACATTCTTAGTTCTATCATGTAGGAAAACATTCTTTTTAATACTAGAAATTGAAAATACCTATTATGGTCGAAAAATTTATTAACAGTTTTAACATATTAACATCTTTATAATATGATGCTTGATGCATCAAATTATTGAAATTGCTTGTCAATTTAATTCACTAGAGTAATTTTAATTGCGTTTTAATTGCGTTATAGTCCGGAAAAACAATTCGGCGCGCAGTTCAAAAAGAATATGGTATATATGTAATATAAGTACATATAGTGTATATTATAATAGTAATTCAAGATTGAATTATTTAAAGCAATGAAGATCCAGCTTCGACCGTAATAGGCATTTTAAATTTCTAATATTGATTGTGTTTTTCGCATATATACGTTCTAAAATAAAGATTCTTAATATTCTTTTTAATTGCTTTCGATATAACAGCAAATGCCATGTGCCATCAGTTTAATGATTTGAGATGTTTCAATTAAGTGTTAAATGCGACGCAAATTGAGGATTCCCTAATCTGAATTAGTACGCAGATGTTATACTATGTTGCACAATGTAATCAACTGCGAGTTAAACTTTAATGGGCAAAATTCACTTGGATAACATAGATAACAGGTGATTTTCTTTCGATAACTCGTTAAAGGAGGAACTTAGACAGAAGAATAATTTCGCTTTGCTTGTTACGCAAATTGACGACGGAGTCGTGAGATATTCCGTGATTCAGTTTGTACGTGTAATCAAGGATTTTTGCAAACAGTTTCCTTGAAGGAGATCAGAAGATTGCCTCGATGCCGAAGGACTTGATGTACTTGTATGTATATATACCTGCGGTGCTGCCCGTTGCCCGCCACGCCAAACGTTGGCCGATAAGGCAGATCGGAACCATAGATTCAATTAGATGCTCCGACGTGATTCCAATAATGAATAATCGAGAAGCAAACTCTGAGATTCTGCTGTACCAACATTCTATCAAGATCGCGTCGAGGAGTATCGAGCAATTTTTTTCAGAATATCATGTATTAAATGACCTTACAAAATCGTATACGATATTGCAAATGCATTGATGATTTCATTTAAAATTCATTTTTCGGAGAAATACCGGAAAATATTCCTACACAATCATCACCTATTTTTATGTAAATCTTAAAAGTCACTTCTGTCACTTTCTACTTCGAAACTCGCGATTGAATAGCAAAAACGCGCCGGAATAAATATGCATCAATATTTTTATATTTATAATTTTACACGCGCGATTAGTATTGTTGACAAGATTTCATTTTAGTTTTACATACATTATCTATTTTACTACATTATCTATTGAACATTATCTGCCACTTCCATATCACGTTCTTCAGTGCATGAAGTTATTTCATCCATAATTATAGATTAGACTAACGAAAATACTGATGCTTAAAATAAAAATAATAATACATTAAATAGAATTTAAATTATTCATCTCAACACTCGCTATTACAAAAGAGAATCACAATTCTGAGCTTGATAGATAAAGTTTTGTTATCTTATTCAAATTTCCATAAAAAAACTTGGAATTCATTATCGAGGTTTTAATAGAAAGTAACTATCCTTTACATTTTATATGACTAAATAATTAAAAGCATTTAAGATCTACTTTGAAAAATGGAAATTCTTTATACTTAATGGAATACAAATTCATTATTACTAATTATAGATTAGATTTTAATCATGATTTCGATTAGGGGAGCATCAATATCTTTAATGACATTTAATCCTTCGATTATCAAGAGCCGTTCGTTAAAAACGATCTTTTCAGAATAATTCTGCTATAAGATTTTGGTAATTTCTGTAGATTTTTCTAATTAATTTTTAAGTTATAAGGTTGTATTTGAAACAAATAAATAGAACAATACATACCATTTTCAAAGAGATATAACTTATATCGCTTTTCCATATCCTGCACTAAGGTGAGTTGCGGAGTTTGCTATTCTAAAAAATCGCGATTCACAAAAGTTTAGAAAACCCTATGATCTAAATTTTTACTTTTCTTATTAAACATTTTCTTCTATTTGTCTTATTAATTCGGTGGACACAGAAAAGCTAAACAAACTATGTAATAAGAAATTGCAAAACTGATTCTCGCATATTGATCGACATGCAGTACGTGGAAATTCTTATTTATCAAATGACCTGTAATCGATGGTTTCTCCATTAAGCTGCTACGATATCGGGGTGTACGTCGGAGAAATCAAGCGCGCCCAACTAGTCAGGCGAATGATCAATCGCCTGGAACATACCATCTCCATGTTACCGTGTACCAAGTATGGATACACGAAGTAACGGACCATTCAAAGATCAACGCTGATCGATGACGAACAGACTTACACCTGGTATCCACAGATAATGCTGGAAGACAAACTGAGAGAAAAATTTTGGATGTTCGTAACTATAATTACATGCTACTAGGTATAATTATGATTATTATTGTGTGCTATTATTATTGGTATAATGCAATAGTAATTATATACGTACAGTTTTAGCAACAAATATATATATAGTTGAAGTAATTGCAGTTAAAATAATTTAATTATAATTTATAGTTATTTTTCGACTGTATTTTTTATTTTATATGGTTTCCCAAAAATGACTATAATTATAGTCATCTTCCAGCTATAGATATTTGTTGATAAAACTATATGTATATATCTATGTATAGTTATAATTACTAACATTATAGCAGTAAAATAGACGGAAGCTAGCTAAGAGGCAAATTTGGAAATGCAAATTTCTAAACTAAAATATATATGGATATGTTTATGCTTGCATAAGATAGCACAAAAAAGGAGATTGCAGAATACAATAATCTGTGAACATATGAACTTTTTCATTTTTTCTATTACGTTTTTTTATTATGATTCTATCAAGTTTTTAAAAATCTGGAAAGCAATTTAAAATTCTTTCTAGCAACTTATAAAGTGACAAAAATATTGACCTAAAAAGAGTTGAATCATAGCAATGGAATATGCGTTAGAAAAGATAAGAATAACATTCATTATGTGATCAGTCTGGATGCTGAAAAAGAATTGTTAGACATTTTGTAGGCCGTGAAAATGGACAAATATCTTATTTTTTGCACTTTCATGTTAGAATATCTCAAAAACTTGATATTTTCGAAGCCACAATCGTAATCAGCGCATCAAAATCTATCAAAAACAACTTCATTTATTTTAAAGCTAAAATAATATCGATGTAGCAATGTAATATTAAATTACAAATAATATTAAACTACTTGTCTATTTAATTTGTAATACTATAATACTACTCCAGCTTCGATTTAGGACTGTATTTCAAAATCAACAAATAATCGGCATACAGTTAGCTTAAATTAGAAGTTGTATAAATTTACAAGAATTAGGCATAATATTTGTGAGTCTACAGCATAAAATGTTCCATTAATATTTTAAAAACACGAAACAAATAGCAATATCATAATTATGTTGAAGCTAAATATACGTATATTCACATAGCCCGTGAAAACAATATAAATTACGTTTCTCTTCATTTTGCAAGACAAAATTGATTTTGACAATGCACAAACCGTACGTTTTGGTTTCTTTACAAAGAGAAATATTGAATATTTCTGTTATATAGGAGTATGATCGTTTCTCAAAATATTATTTTTACTGACTTACAGTACTTTGATCAACACTACAGCTCGAATATTATTTTTTACTTCTTCAAGATAATCCGCAATTATGCGAAACAGTAGAAATTCAGCATGATGCATCTTTCGTGTCGGTTTGTAGCGGTAGAATTGTAAAAAATTTCAAAGTAATCTACTTACGACAGATGTTTGCGTATGAATGTTATTTCAACGGAAAGAAAATATCAAGAAGAGTATATATCTCTGGCGAACTAAGGAATATATTTTCATTCCCTTGGAAAATGTCTAATACTGTCTTCTGATATTCTGCCCTGCGCTACATCTTTATCAATATATCGAATATTAAAATTAAGCTAAAAAATAATAAAAAATTTGACAAGCGTTTTATAAAAATATTTTGCTGAAATTCTAAGCGTAATTTATTTAAAGAGCAAGCTATAATTGCACGAAATAATTGAAAATTTAATATTAATGTTTTATTTCGAAACTGATTCTCATGAAGAATATTTTCAAAAAGTTGAAACCAATTCAAGATCGTTCTTTTTTCCTTGCATTTGAGCATATTACGCTTTTACCAGCAAATTACCAACGATTTAATAAATTAATCCCGATTCGTATAATCAAGGTATCGGGGGTGCGAGTTAATTTCTAACAAACAGAGCGGTCTGGTCGCTTAATCC